AAGACTGTGACAGGAGGCTGGGCAACGCGGCAGGAAAGCTCTATATAGTAGACATGTTTCAAACCCCACCTCTTCCTGCCATGAGATGTTGTGTCAGAACAAGCGAGCCATACTGACAATAAAATATAGATTGATGTGTACAGAATCTGTCAACAGAAGAGTTGGACTTTCTAGCCCTATGTAATCAACATTTCTTTCTCCCTTAAACCGATATTAAGAAATCCAATAAAGTCATTTGCAAGTTGACACAACTTACTTAAACATCAAATTAGTTGCTTAATTGTGAGACTATTGCTTTCAGAAAAAGGGAAAAGAATGTCAGCTCTCATTTTGTGTATTTTTTTTCAATTTAAGAATTTACATTTAGTAGAAAATTTTCTCTAGATCTAATGTACAATGAGAACTAGAGTTAATAAAATTGTATTGTATTAGAGACTTTTGTTAAATAAGTAGATTTTAGCTCTTGTCACAAAATGATGGTAGGTATGTTAATCTGTGTTGCTATAGTAACCATTTTACCATCTATATCAGTGGTCCCAAACCTTTTTTGGTATCAGGGACCAGTTTGGTAGAAGATAATTTTTCCATGGACAGGTTGTAGGGGGGAGGATCATCAAACGTTAGAGTCTCATAAGGAGGGCACGGCCTAGAACTCTTGCATGTGCAGTTCACAATAGAGTTCATGCTCCCATGGGAATCTAATGTTGCTGCTGATCTGATAAGAGGTGGAGCTCCGCTCACCTGCCACTCACCTCCTGCTTTGTAGCCCAGTTCCTAAGAGGCCACAGTAAGAGGCCACAGATTGGTACTGGTCCACAGCTAGGGGTTGGGGACTCCTGATCTATATATAGCTCATAGCATCATGGAGTAAAACCTCAAATGTACATAATAAAATTTATTTTAAGCAAAAAAACTTATAACACTTATGAAATAAGCACATTACTTTATTTATATAAGGATTTTCTTCTCCATCACTCCATTTATTTTGTTGTGCTGCCAGTTTCATGATACAATGAGAAACATAAGATGAAACCATTTAAACATTTATGTTTCCTACCATTCTGCAGGCAAGTCAGGTAAAATACTTAGGAGGGGGTGGAGGAAGGAACCCTAATCTAAATGTGATGATTGGTTCATTTTCAATAGGAACACACAGAAATTTTTTCATGAAAAGGGGGACTGCTCTACCTTGATAGCAAGAGCAATTGTTTTGAGAGAGAGAGAAAGGTGAGGGAAGACATGGAAGGTACACTTGGGTCTTTGTGAAACTGATAAGAGTGACTGATACATAATAGGTACTCAGTCAGTTTCATGAAATCAATTTGTTCCTGGAGAGACGTTACAGTTAGGTTGGCATGTATGTTTATGATAGTGAATATAGTTTTGTGTTCAAAACCCAGTGTGAAGCAATGCCATATTTGTGAACTGTATGTAAAGGTCCTGTTTCTACTAGGTTTGTATTGCTATGATGGAAAGTATGAAATGTTTCAGGTTAGAAAATGGAATGTGCTGCATCTAACAGAGTTTTTGGTTAAATACTTTGGTGTGATGGTCTAAAATGCTAAAGAAGCCCTCATAGATTTATGAGTGGTAGGGCATGTTAGGGTTCTTCATCCAAGTAGAATATGAACTAAAAGAATGTTATGCTTTGTCATTGAGGCAAAGACTGTACTGTGAATCTGTGGTCTTTAAATAATAGAATTGAGTAGACTTAGTGTACATTGATAGTTAACTAAGTTACAGAAAGTGTTGATTTGCAGTTAGAGTTCTTCTCTGTGTTATTATCCAAAAAAAGTGTTTCCATGAGCATCCTGACCACCAGTCACTGTCTTGCCACGTTGACACATGGCATGTTGTCATGCCTTAGTGCTTTCTCGCTCCTCTTTCTCCACTTCACTTTTTTAGAGCTTCCAACATCATAGTTGACAGAAACTCCATCTGTAATAATTGACTAAGAAGATCATGGGATATGTTTATATCAGTCTCTTTTTCAAAAAGGAAGACACTTATTATTAAAAAACCCAGACAAAGCCGGGCTCGGTGGCTCAGCCTGTAATCCCGCGCTTTGGGAGGCTGTGGTGAGTGGATTGCCTTAGCCCGCGGGTTCGAGTAACTTGGGTAACTTGGCGAGACCTCATCTCTACAATAAAAATAAAAAAATCAGCCGGACATGGTAGCGTGTGCCTGTAATTCTGGCTACTTGGAAGGCTGAGCCGGAAGGATCGCCGGAGCCCAGTGAGTCAAGGCTGTGGTGGCCGGGAGCGGCCACTGCACTCCAGTCTGAGTGAAAGAGTGAGACTCCACTCAAAAAAAAAAATAATAAAACCCCAGACAAATCTATGATAGCAGTGGGTATTTTTGCCCTCTTCTTGCCTGGGAGTTTGTAAATGTGCAATCTTGAGCAGCAATTTCCTTATTTATTCCTGTGCTTGGCTGGAGAGGCCTAGTTGGATAGCTCATTTTAACTCCATTATTTTTGAAAGGTACAAAATATGGTTGGGATTCGTTATGTGCTTATACCGACCCAGGTTTCCTATTTGAAGTCTTTTTTGGATTTAAATGAAAGATACTGTAACGCTAAACAGATATAGATATGAATGTAGTGTACTTATGTGTAATATTTCTGAATAGTGAATTCTAGTTTTATGTAAGCCTAATGAAACCAAATAAAAGAGTTGCATGTCAAATGATAATAATGGGCGGTTTAAGATGGGCACATTTTTAGACTCAAGTTCAATCCCATGAAATTGTACAAAATAATTTAACTGGATCTGTCCTAATTCAACTTCATTCAGATAGTATTAGCAATGAGAGGCTACTTCATTTGGTGGTTAGATAAGATTACTGATTTTAAGAAATTCATTTGTACAAAAGTTTTAAAATGTGTTATCTCATATAGTCTAAAAGCTTTCTCCACCTTCCCTTTTCACAGAACTAAGCCTACCTTCAAGGCAAACTATATTAAGAAGATATTATTACCTGAGAATTTTCTTGTGTCCTTTTTAAAAAACATATACATCATAGACACTACGACATGAGTAACAACTTTAGCGACCTATTAGTGAACAAATATTCTTTTCAGTTATTTTGTTAAATCATTTTCTTGGACTTAGCAATTAGTAATAGTTGCCACATTCTTGCCAGAAATACCTTGTATTCATTTTATGTTTTTATAGTACACCAGAATTATGTATTGATTTCTCGGCACTGCGTTGTAGAAATATATTAGTACACAAGGTTGAAAAGCTGAATGTATAGAATGGAACTGAATGGAGGAATGAACAAGGAATGAACTGCCATGTTTGAAAGTTCAGTAAGGAGGACGTGTAGTTAGCGTAGAAATAACCCACACAAGTATTTTAGTGAGATCAGTTAGTGACAATGCGGCAAGATACACAGAAGAATTTCTTTTTTGTTTTTATTAGAATAAAAGGGATAAATGTGTAGTCTATGTCTTCTGATAAATGAAAGTCTTGCATTCTGGTTTTTAAATTCAAGAATCATTGAAGGAGCTTCCTTGGAATATGTATTGATAGCTCATCTACTTCTATGTTTGTGTTGCTGCATAATAGACCAGAACACAAGCAGTGTGGATTTTTCCCTCCATGGAATTGTTTCCTTTCTGATTGGACGTAAATATTAAATATTGATCCCTGCAGACACAGAAGGGAGTAGCTTCTTGCAACAGGAACCACAGCTGTTTTCTTTCTTTAGGTGGTGGGTAGGGGCATGATTGGCTCCGTGGTGACGGTTTGTTTCCCCCACCTCTCAAGTGCAGCCTGTGCCAGTGTGGCATGGGTCTGGGCTTGGGTGAAAGCTCACTCTGCAGTGTTACCCCTTTGGGCAATATGGTGAGGCATGTGCAATCCTTTGTCTTGTTTGTGGGTCAGTCTATCCGTGACTTTCAGTACTGCCTTGTCTTTGGACGTGGGGAAGCTGTGGGGAAGGACCCTCTTCTGGGACAATTGAATGCCACCATGATGAGGCTTGCCTCAGAATTCCTTCCTTCCTAGTACCCCAGACAAGGAGCTTTGCGGGTGTGTTTCTGGCAGCAGAAAAGCCAGCTGGACTTAGTGGTTGAGTCTATGTGTCAATTTATAGTCTAAGAAAAGTCTTAGTGGCATGCTATTGGAAGCATGCTAAGTAGAATACTTCAATATAACTCTTGAGCTTTCTCTGGAAAAAAAATGTAAATAGCAAGAAATAAAACTGACCTCCTCCAGGGTACATCCCAGGAAGGATAAAGACGTCAAGGTATGGAAGACTCTTCCCTTCTAGCTCTTCCAGTGAGCTGTCCAGAACCCGTGTTCAGGGCTCCTTGCTACCGTGCTGGGTGCAGGGCTGTAACTAAGCTTCTGTCTCACTAAGGCAGTGGGAGGGGCTGTCATTGCATTGTGGAAGGGCTACAGATGAACCTTTCCTCCACTTTTCCATAAAATGGGCTTCTCTAGGAGAAATTCGAAAGAGGCCAGGAGGAATTTTTTCTCATTTTCTTATTGAATACAGGGGATTTAAACATTCTTGTACATGAAGAATATCAACTACTTTTTCTATATGACCTAGATGAAACATAGCTTATATAGAAAAAGTGATTTTATATGAAATGGTCTTCATTTTTAAATTGGTTCCATAAGAAATGGTTTTAATTTTCAATTTTCTTGCAGTTCACACAAAGATGAATTCTTGCATTTCAAGATTGCAATGTATATATATCTGGTTCCTTGCTTCATTTTAAAGACTATGTTGTTTTCTTAATCATGTTGAAGTTTTCATAACCTGTTTCAATAATGTTAAATTAGATTCATTTTTCTTATTGTTAATATAAATACAGGAAATTTAAAGACTGAGAACCATGTGTAAAAGGATGACTACACTTAATGTGAACAGATGTGTCTCCTTCTTTGTGTGTGCGAATGTGTCCAGCCTTGCTGTCGATTTCTTCTGTCATACACTGCCAAATCTTCTATTTAAGTATTGTGAAAACTCTTTGTTTTTTTCAGGTCGAATGAGTGATTTGAGTGTAATGGGTCATCCAATAGATTCAGACTCTAAAGAAGATGAGCCTTGTAGTGAAGAAACAGATCCAGAGCATGACCTAATTGCTGAACTTTTACCTGGATTACCTGAGGTAATTGAAATAGATATATACCACAGTGAGGAAGATGAGGAGGAAGAAGAAGAGTGTGCAAATGCCACTGACCTGACCACCACCCCATCTGTGCAGTACATTAATGGGAAGCACCTAGTGACCACGGTGCCCAAGGACTCAGAAGCTGAAGAAGCTAGGCGTGGTCAGTTTGAAAGTGTGGCACCTTCTCGAAATTTTTCAGACATGAGTTCTGAAAGTGACACTCATCACTTTATAATAACAGAAACGGAACCATCTGCTGTGCAGCCCAACGACTCCACAGAAAACACAGACTCTCTTGAAATTACATGGAAGCCTGAGGTGTACCCTGAGATAGCAGAACATTTTTCAGGGGGTGAGCCTGATGCTTTCCCCACAGTCTCGTCCCATGAGAGAGAAGTCCCAGAGGGAACAGAAGCAGGCACAGAGAGAGGGTCTGAGCCTGGTCATCAGCTGCGCGAACATACAAAACCCATACCTCTGTTTCCTGAAGAGTCTTCAGGAGAGACTGCCATTGACCAAGAATCTCAGAAAATTGTCTTCTCAGGGGTGACAGAAGTCACATTTGGTGAAGAGGCAGAAAACAGTCCTTCTATCGCATATGCTCCCACTGTAGGCCCAAGTTCTGTGTCAGCATATTTTTCAGAGGAAGAATCAGTTACCCTTGCAAGAAACCCTCATCCTGATGACCCATTGTCTACCGTAGAAAGCTGGGTGGAAATAACTCCTAGATACACTGTAGAGCTGTCAGGGAGTTCTTCAATTCTAATTCCAGAAGGCTCTGGAGAAGCAGAAGAATATAAAGACAATGTGTTCACCGTCGTAACCGATTTATCTCAGAGAAATACTCCCGGCACAGTCATTACTTTAGACGCAAGCAAGATAACCACAGAGAGCCTTTCTGAGGTTCTTGTGACCACTGTTAATTCAGTTTCTGAACAACCTTCTGCAGAAGTGGTGCCCACCCAATCTATAAGTGAAACAGACACTCCTGAGTGGGTTTTCAGTACGTCTCTTGAGGGAAAAATAAGGAAAGCAGAAGAGAATGGAACGACAGGTACAGCTTCCACAGTTCAGGCATACTCACCAGCACAGAGATCAAAAGAGAATGGAACAACAGGTGCAGCTTCCACAGTTCAGGCATATTCACCGGCACGGAAATCAGATCAATCTATTTTACCCTCTGAAGCAGGAAGTCCAAATGTAGTCACATCTGGCAATTCAGCAACTGAGACAAGTTTTATGCCCTTGACAACAGCTACAAATTCTGAAAAGGAAATGGCAAATTCTGCTTTTGTCTCTACAGAAGCAAATGTTTTAGAAAATTTGGGGGTGCAGACCACTGAGCATGGCCATAGCAACCCCCCTGGGCCTCAGGAGGGGCTGACAGGTCTTCCAAGTAGCCCCTTCTCCCTCTTTCTGGAGCAGGGCTCTGGAGAAGCTACTGTGGACCTGGAAACTACCACTGTGTCTTCATTTTCATTAAACTCAGAGTCTGAAATTCAAGCAAGCAAGGAAGTAGCAGGCACTTCGCCTCCCTATGTGGAAACTACACTCTCCTCTGAACTGACCACACTAGTTTTGAGTACTGTAAGGGACAGAGAAGTTGCTGAAATTATAAGCCAGACATCCAAGGAAACACTGATTTCAGAAGTGTTGGGAGAAGTACATCGGGGGTCAGAGATAAGGGACTCTTCAACAGGTTTTCCCTTCGAGGAGGATTTCAGTGGTGACTTTAGAGAATTCTCAACAGCATCTCATCCCATCACAAAAGAAGAGACCGTGATGGCGGAAGGATCTGGGAACACAGCATTTAGGGACATCCAGACATCACCATCTGCAGTACCTGCTTCAGTTCACATTCTTCGGGTACCTCCCTCAGAGGGACCCAGCAGCCCCATGGTTGGCACTGCAGCCTTCCCGTGGGAAGAATTCACAGCCTCGGCAGAGGGTTCTGGTGAGCACCTGGGTCCCGTCCCTGGCTCTGCTGATCCAGTGCCTCTTAGCACTGTGGGAAATGTCCCTGGTACAGTCTTACCATCAGTTGACCAAGGATTGGGAGAGATGGGTGTCGTCAATGAAGTTGATGAAAAACCCATCATTTTACCAACAACAGAGGCTGGAGGTACTGAAGTGATCACAAAAAAGGTGGAAGTAAACATCAAAAGCACGGTTTCAACGGACTTTCCCCAAACTCTGGAACCAGCCAAACTATGGTCAAGGCAGGAAGTCAACCCTGTAACGCAAGGAGTTGCAAGTGAAACAGCATCAGAGGAAGAAAAAATGCAAGAACAAAAGTCCTTTGAATCCACCCAAAGCTCTCTTGCAACAGAGCAAACAATTTTTGACTCACAAACATTTACTGAAGCTGGTCTCCCAACCACAGATGATCCTGTACTAACAACAGAGAAAATGTACAATCCTGATAAGAAAACAGAGGAGGAAGGCGTTTCCCTAGTTAGCATGCCTACTTCAGATTCAGATGCTCAGGACTTGGAATCTCCTACAACTCACCCTGAAGCTACTGAAAAAGCACACTTTTTCTTAGCTACTGCCTCAGTGACTGAATCTACACAAGCTGAAAGTGTCATCACAGACTCATCAATCAAAGAAGAGGAAAGTACAAAACTGTTCTCCAACGGTATGAGACCAACAATTAAAGAATCAGATACTGAGCTCTTATTCTCTGGGCTGGGATCAGGAGAAGTTCTGTTTACCTTACCTACAGAATCAGTGAGTATTACTGAAATGGAGCAAGTCAATAGCACATTATATCCCCAGACTTCTCAACTGGAAAGTTTAGAAACGAGCGTCTTAAGTGATAAAACTGAAAACTCTGCAAGAATGGAAAATGTGGCAAATGAAGTTAGACCACTCGTGTCCACAACAGACATCTATGAAGGGAATGAGTCAGTACCCAACACAACCCTCACAGAAATTTTAAGTGACACTGGAGCAGAAGGACCCACGATGGCACCTGTCCTTTTCTCCACAGATACCAAACATCCTCAAAGTCAGACTCTCAGATGGAGAGAAGAAATCCAGACTAGTAGACCACAAAATATAACTGAACACATCTCTAACAGGAATTCTCCAACAGCAGAATCCGAAGAAACAGCAACCTCTTCCACTGGTTTTCTGGCTAGAACTCATGGTCTTGAAATGGCCAAAGAATTGGTTACATCATCACCACAGTCAAATGACTTATTTCGTGAACATTCTGGAGAAGGATCTGGAGAATTGGATACTAATGATTCAGTTCACATTTCTGGAACCACTCAGGCAATCAGACAAGGAAGCACCACCTTCATTTCTATTCAGTCCTTGGAAAAGCACCATGAGGTGCCAAGTGCCAACGTTGTCACTGCTGCCGGGTTCCCAACTGTTTCAGGGGGGCTGCCTCTTCATGCAGAGCAGGATGAACTCTCCCTGAATCCAACTAGCACACTGTCAAACACAGTGTCATATGAGAGGTCCACAGATGGTACCACAGGTAGTTTCCAAGACCGTTTCAGGGAATTTGAGGATTCTACCTTAGGACCTAATAGAAGAAAACCTGCTGATAATATTATTCTAGATCTGGACAAAGAGGACAAGGATTTAATATTGACAATTACAGAGAGTACCATCCTTGAAATTCCACCTGAGCTGACATCAGATAAAAATACTATCATAGATATTGACCACATTAAGCCTGAGTATGAAGACATCCTTGAAATGCAAACAGACATGGATTCAGAGCTCCCATCGGAACCACATGGCAGTCATGATGAAGGCATTCATGTTCAAGAGAAGTATGAGGCTGATGCCAACCTCTCATCCACCAAAGAGGCATTTGAGGGCTCTGGTGATGCCCTTCTGGCTAGCAACACACAGGCAACACATAATGAATTAACGACTAATGAGAATGGACGCCGATTAGATCACACGGGCCTTGACTACACAACTGGGGTCCCTGTTCCTAGCACAGAAACAGAATTAGATATTTTACTTCCCACGGCAACATCCTTGCCCATTCCCAACAAGTCTGCCACAGTTAATCCAGAGGCTGAAGAAATAAACATGGAAGTCAAGACCTTGGATGACATCTATGAAGCAAGCACTTTGTCTGATGGCCAAGCTGTGGCAGACCAAAGTGAAGTAGTATCCACACTGGGCCATTTGGAGAGGACCCAGGAGGAGTATGAAGAAAAGAAATATGCAGGTCCTTCCTTCCAGCCAGAGTTCTCTTCAGGAGCGGAGGAGGCGTTGGTAGACCATACTCCCTTTGTAGTTACCGGCACTGTCCGCCTTGCGGCTGGTAGGCTGACAGAGGTGCCTCATGGGATGGAAGGATCCAGTTCTCTGTATTACATGAGTACCACGCCGGCAACTTCAACATTTGCAAAGTTGTCTTCTCAGACACCGTCTCTTTCACCCACCGTCTATGTAGGCAGTGGTGCCTTTGAACCCACAGAGGGTTCCCAGCCAAGTGCTCTGTCAATTGTCAATGCTGACTCATATGTATCCCCAGAGGATTCTTTTAAGGAAGTTTATGCAAACCCTGAAGTGACTTTCAAGCCATTAGGTGGAGAATACATTCACATAACTGAGCCTCCGGCCTTATCTCCTGACATAATATTAGAACCGTCAGAAGATGAAACTAAACCCAAGTTATTAGAAGAAACGACTGCTTCTCCCACAGAACTAAGTCTTGAGGAAGGAACAGAGGTTTCCCAAGATTTCCAAAACAAAATCAACGGCCAACTTTCTGGAGAAACAGTCAAGATGTTTCCCAGTATCCAGACACCTGAAGCTGGGACTGTTATTACAGCCGCCACTGAAAGTAAGTTGGGAGGTGCTACTCAGTGGCCACATTCTACTTCGGTGGAACCACACAGGAAGGAGGCAGGTGTGGTGTCTCAGCCCAGCCCTCAGAACTCAGAGAGCCCCGCCATTCCATCGTCTCTCGAAATAAACCCTGAAACACTAGCAGTCTTAGTCAGAGGCGAGGACGCCACAGCAGCAGTATCAGAACCGCAAGTGGCAGCAAGAATTCTTGATCCTAATAATCTGGCAACCGTAAGCACTATGGAATTAAACACTGAGCTCACAACGCCGCCATTTCCCCTTCTGGAAACTTCTAATGAAACCGATTTCCTGATTGGCATTCATGAAGAGTCAGTGGAGGGCACAGCAGTCTATTTACCAGGTAAGATCACAGCATTGATAAACCTGTTTCCAAACCCGGAAACAGTCCTTTGATCCTGCCGTGCTTAGGTGTGGAATTTGTACTGTGATGTTAGATCAGTGGAGAATTTTGTATTGTTTACATAACAGCAGTCCTAGTACTGAGTCCAAAATGAGATGAAATGAAAGTAAGTATAGGTCATTTCGTTGCACATGTACTTGGCACTCTTCTGGGTTTTAGAAATAGCATAGACTGCAAAAAATGGAATTGTTAATGGTATATACATTCAATTTGTTTTCACTCACAACTAGTGTATTGCTGTGTTGTAAATCCTGTAGTTACACATATCAGTTCTAAAAACAGGAAAGAAGTCCTATTTTTAAAACCCTGCCATTTATGGGTGCTTTTGTAGCAATATCTAAATCTGTCAGGCTTTTAAACACTTCAGAGTAGTAAATAGCTCTGGTAAATATTTCAGTTTGTGCAATAACAATGATCAGTTTATACTTTGATGTCATTTCCTTGCTTAAAGCAGTCTGTTTACTGCTTCTAACACAGCACTTGGCCATGGTGAACATTCATGGATTATATTCACAGGCTGCCTGTTGAGAGAAGCTTTCTGTTTATTTACTGAATATACAGAAAGCATGAATTTGATACTGTTCCTTATAGACCATCTCATTTGATCTTTACAAAAAGGCTGTAAGGTGCAATGTGGGGAGATTCAGAGAGATTCACTATCTTGCCTGAGGTGGCATAACCACAACATGGCAAAAGTGGGATTTGAACTCATGTCAGCTCCACTCTAAAGTCTGTGGTCTCTTTACTGCTTTTTGCTGGTTTCAATATAATATAAAAATGAACAATTGCTGTTTAATAATATGTGAACCAGAAATCTTGAAATATTTACTTTGTAGAACTTATATTTCTCTTAATCTAGCCTGAGAATTTTCACACCCAGCATTAGTGGTTTCAGGGACTATTATTGTTTAAATAAGAATGCTAGTGGAATTCATAAATAGACATCACCATCTAACTGCTACCTGGAAAAAGAAAAGAGTCAGCATTCTAATGGCTATCTTGGTTGAAAACATATGTTTTATTTTAATTACTATGTTTTATGTCATGGCTGTTAAAATATTCTGATTGTATCAGTATTATCTTTTGTGCCACTAAATGCTTTATTTTAATGTGCTCTTCAGAAAGAGAAAAAGAGTCAGAAAATGCAATTGTTTATACATGACGAAGTATTTTGGTAACAAAATTGACCAAAGGTGGTTGACACTGGATTTTTTTTTTTTTCAATCTATTTAATCTGTAAATGATAACCTAATAATTTGGCCAATAGTTACTGTTTTGTAATTTAGTTTAACATACTTCAGGTTGTTGAAAATATGATATAGAAGTAATTGGTAACAACTGTGTACGTCTAGAGAGAGTTAAGTTTGACAAATGAATGAGAAATATGCACCAATTATCCAGTGCACCGTATTTACCAAGACTTAGGGTTGCGTCTTCACTGCACAATAAATTGTCACTTTAGCTTAATTCAGTGAACAGCAGCTCCTGTGGCATTACCTGGTCTATCTGTTGCAGACCCAACTTTCAGAGATTAATACAGCTGTTTAGGGGGGGAATAAAATTCATAAAACAAAAGTTTTCTTTTAATTGGAACAAACTGAATTTCCCAGAAAGACTCACTCACCAAGTCCTTGTCTTCAATGTCTAGTGTCTGTGGTGGGAGCCATACAGTACTTCATGTTGTGTGGCACGTCCCTGTCCTCCAAACCACTTTCACCAAAGTGTTTTTTTGATTCTGCACACAGGGTAGCATGTGGAGATGCTGCTGTTGACTGAGGTCTTGTCCTTTAGACAAGACAGGCAGGGCCTTTCAAATGCAGAAAGCTAAAGCTGCCAGATTTCAGATAAGCCTGGGAACTACAGGAAGAGGTATCTAAGAACAATTGGGGGAGTTTTTGGAGAAGTTAGTGTACATATCCAGATTCACCTAATTTTAATGCGAACCCCAAACATGGGACTGTTTACCTATTGACTTTTTCCAGTTGTCCAGAATTTACTTAACACTCAGAAAGTTTGAGTTTGACTTTCTTGTGTGGGAAAGACTCAGTGATCTTCTATTGCAGTACCTTGCAGATCCTCATATTCCTTAAGTTAATGTTTAATGAGAAGTCAGACATCGTCATTTCAGGTGTAATCATTTCAGGGTTTCAGGATTTAAGATTCTTGCAAATAAGAGTATATCCCATAGAGCATCTATTTTATTTCAATTATTTTGTAAAACTTTCCACTTTTATTTGGATCTTTAGAAACTTAAACAAGTCTGAAAAAAATATGTGAAGAATCAACTCCATCAAAATACACTTATCCAAGCAATATACAATATAAAATATATGCTTCAAATGGTATAAAAGTAGTTGCACTTGACAATATATTTAAACTGATTGTCCTCATAAGTGTATGTCGTTAGCCTTTGTATTTTTTTCTCCTAGGAGTGTTGATTTTATAAAATTGTAATAAAAACTTGGGGTTTCATTTTTAGGTGAGGTTTTGTATTTGAGTTTGTTTTTATACAGTAGAGTTTAATCCATGTGTTGCTTTTCTTCAAGTATAGTTTAAAGGAGTACATTTGGAACGTGTTTTTGGAAAAAGCATATTAATGTAGCAGAAGAGACTTCAATGCACACTTTGGAAGACAAACAGTTTCTGAGCATTAAGTGGTAAAAGGCAATAATAATTCCAACGATGATAACAAGCCAACCTGCTAAAAAGAATGCATGTTCTGTGTCCCAGCCATTTCACATAACTAACTCTGTGTAAAAGAATACATTTTCCATCCACTGTGCACATATGTGTCATCATTTTTGACTAAAATCAATCGCCATTATCATGCCAACTAAATCTGCAGTAGAATATATAGTTGCCAGATACAGTACAAAAATACCATTTAAGAATAATTGTGACTGAATTCCAGAAAAGAATAGATACAATTTATAACAATTGGTTGTAATGCCAAGAAACACTCCAGAGAGTTAAGTTAATGCTAATTTCTACATGTAGTATCTCTAAGTGGCTTTGGGAAAGCTTATGCGTGGCATTTGATGCTAAGTTCCACTGAAACCCTAGAGATGAGTCTAATTGTTTTTCTTACTTTCCTGAACGTGGTAGGACCTGATCGTTGCAAAACAAACCCATGCCTCAACGGGGGCACCTGTTACCCCACAGAAACCTCCTACGTGTGCACTTGTGTCCCAGGATACAGTGGAGACCAGTGTGAGCTGGGTAAGGTGCTATTGGCTGAGAGGGTGTGTTTCTTTGACAGATGATACACCGGGGGAGAATGCATGCTCTTGGGTCAGTCAGAGACTTCAGAGAAACCCGTGTGTAGATGAATTACATGTTACATGAAGTTAAAATCAGAGGGTTATTAGCTGGGGTCTAGAAAATGTAGTCAGATGCTTACTAAATTCAGGCTGGGCCTCATTACTCACATCTGAAATCCTAGCACTTTGGGAGACCGAGGTGGGAGGATTGCTTAAGTCCAGGAGTTCAAGATATTTACTGAATTCTGGTAATGTACCCAAGATTCAGTGAGGTGTACTGAGGACAGCTGTGTCCTTTTGTGGCTTCTGCAGATAGGCTTTACAATTATAAAGATGCAGAGATGTGAACAAAAAAACATTACTCTATCTCCTAAATCTGCATATCAATAAAAATTAAGTACAAACATATTTCAGAAAATCATATTTAAAAATTAGAAAACATATAAACATGAGAAAGCTTAGTTCTTATGTTCTGAGTTGACTTTCTCCTCTGGTGTGGGAGGGGAAAGACCCTTTCCTGACTCATCTGTCACCAACCTGTCTGCCTCAAGTAGTTGTGCCATTGCTGGTCCATCTTCTCTTTTGTTTTCAAGGAATATATATAGTTGACTCTTTACTCATCAGTTTCACTCCCATATTCTTATTTTGGTATTCCTCTCTTTAAAGGAAAAAGAAAGACCCATTTTGGGTTTTTTTTTTTTTTTTTTGAGTTGGAGGGTCTTACTTTGTTGCCCAGGCTAGAGTGCAGTGGCATGATTATGAGTCACAGCAGCCTTGATCTCCTGGATTCAGGTAGTCCTTCTATCTCATCCAACCCGGTAGCTAAGACTTACAGGCATGTACCACCATGCCGGGTTATTTGCTTTTTGTAGAGACAAGTTCTCGCTATGTTACCCAGGCTGGTCTCAAACTCTTGGTCTCAAGTGATCCTCTCACCCGGCCCCCCAAAGTGCTGGAATTACAGATGTGAGCCACCATGACTGGCTGTGCCCCAGTTTTGATTTAGCTAAGTATAGGTCTTGCCCCTGAGAAAGAATGCTGAACTCTACTGTCCAGGTGCACTTTTTACAGGTACTACGAATGTTTGCTTATAGTGATTAAGGAGAGCCCACCAACAACCCTTTAAATTACACAAAAATATTGGGACAAAATCCGAAAATTCATATTAAAGGTGTGATTATTTTTTTAAAAAGTCAATAGAGATAGCGTTCTCTATTTGTGTGCTAATTAGTAGAGCTAGAGAGATAGCAGCAGGTAACAATTTAAGAATAATTACATCTTAAATATCCAGTTTTCATGTATAAAATCATCTATCTGGTCTCCATTCTGTTTCATACCAAAGTCAATTAAAATAGTTTAATGAGTTAACATATATGAAGCTCTTTGAATAGTGTCTGACACTTAGCAAGTACCATAAAAATGTTTAGCATTATTCTCACATAATATTGTCATCATGAATAGCATTTTTTTAAGAATACATTATATGACTCAAAAATATAACTTGCTTTGTGTATTCACTTTTTGAAAATATTATTTTCATTTAATATAATTAATTATATTTAATTAAATTTCTAGTGCAATTGTCAAGTGCTGTAGGAATAAAGTCATTAATTTCATCAGGGAGATCATGGAGATCTGTGTGGAAAGACTGAACTTGACATAGATCTTTTTCTTTTTTTTTTTTGAGTCAGAGTCTCACTCTGTTGCCCAGGCTGGAGTGCAACGGAGCACACTCACAGCCACCACAGCCTTGACCTACTGGACTCAGGCGATCCTTCCACCTCAGTCTTCCAAGTAGCTGGAACTACAGGCACATACTACCACACCTAGCTTATCTTTTGATTTATTGTAGAGACAAGGTCTCACGAATTTTCTAAGGCTGGTCTTGAAACCCTGGACTCAGGCAGTCCTCTCACCTTGGCCTCCCAAAGTGCTAGGAATACAGGCTTGAGCCACCATGCCCGGCCTTGACATAGATCTTAAAGTTGGGGAGGATTTGGCAGGGGGTGGAGGGAGACAGGGACAAAACTAACAAACACAGAGACCACGGCAAGCAGAATGCATCTGAGTGACAGCAGGTATCAAGGCATCCCTCTTTAGGGGCTCAGGAGAGGGAGAATGCTGGAGAGAATACTAGAAAGCAGATGCGTCTAGGAGGTCCTGACAGTCTGAGACGATCCTGAATTCAGTGTAATGAATAGCATGACTTTAAACTCTAGTCAAGTGCTTCTGAGACTTGAGCATGCCACCGAATCATCCAGAGAGCTTGGTAGAACACAGATTGTTGTCCTTACCCCAGACCTCCTAAGACTTAGGAGGTCAGGGGTGGAGTCAGGCACGTGGACTTTTAACATTTGTAGCTGATGCTGGTCCAGGGACCACCACTGAAGACTTCTGCCCAAGGCAATTGGGATCCATGGACTGGAAGCATAAGATTAAAATGATCCTGACAGTATCTAAAAACAGATGCCAGTCAGCAGACTAAAGGCTACATTGGAGAGGAAGGACCTGGAACAGTGGGGCCAGTTAGATCTTTTGAGTATTCTGCATGAGAGGTCATCAGAGCAAGAGTCAGGACTTGAGGTGGGAAGATGAGGGACACTTCAGGTGTCATGAGATTTATCTAGTAGCAATAGAGACAGTGACCCTACTCTGAATATCTTTGACATTTTCTTAGGATTTAGCAAATAGCAATACAGGAGAACCACTTTAATTTGAATTTCAGGTTTAAAAAAATGGAATAACATTTTGGTATAAGTTTGCCCTAAATGTAGCATGGGGTATACGTATACTAAAAAAAATTATAATTTTAAAAAAATTTGAAATTCAGTTTTAGCTGGCCATCCTGTGTCTTATCCTGCAACTTCACACTACATGGAATTCTTCCACCCTTTTTGAAAGTCTTTTGGTACTTTTACAACTTTATTTCAGATTTCGATGAATGTCACTCTAACCCCTGTCGGAATGGAGCCACGTGCATTGATGGTTTTAACACATTCAGGTGCCTCTGCCTTCCAAGCTACGTTGGTGCGCTTTGTGAACAAGGTAAGAGCTATTGCAACATTTGCTTGATGAACATTATTGACGTGTTTTGCACTTTTGGCCTAACTGCATACTCTTCTTGCAGAGGAAATTCACAGGTTACCTAACTAGATTAGGTTTCCTTATTTTGGGGCAGCTTGAAACATCTGAACCGTGGTGTTAACTTGATTATGGTTGTTAAGCTGGTAGATTGGAATTGGAGACACTGAGCTGAAGTTAAAGACATCTAGTCAACAAGAGGAATGTTGTGTGTATTCTTCTTGGGGACAAACTGAACATTGGCCTTTATATGGCTTGTGTAGCAAGGAGTATTGGATTCAATGTTAGTTGTGTTTGTTTTCTCCTAAGCACACTGGGGATTCAATGGGCTTATTTTTCACAGTCAATCATGTCTGGAGAATGAGTTGATATAGTTGTTAGAATACATCAGCTGTGGTTTGGCACATAGTGCCTACAAGATATTCTGAATCTGTTCACCAGGAAATTTTCCTACCAAAGAAGCATCTACTTTTTCTGAATGAAAGAAAGGCCTGTGTTCATGATGGCTTGAGTCTCATGGTGCCTGTAATTTGCATTTTACGGCAGACCTGAGAGTGTATTTGAGGTGGTTAATGGTAACATTTCTTAGTCCATCAATAAGAAACAGATTGCGTGCTCAGCACACTCCGTTTTGGAATGTCAGTTTCCTCCACTTAAAGCCATGCAGTGGTTTGGCTTTGACAAAAGTGCTCAGTGCCAGACTTCCATCGTACCAGACAAACTGAAAACGCGTTAGACACTCAGACACGTTGGGCTGCCTCTACACTGGGCTTGGATTGGGAATCTGGATGTCACTACAATGAACACAAAGCAAAAAGGGGCATGTATGGGATTGCCAGACCAAGTGAGGGTGGTGGCTACATTTTTAGATTTTTTGCCCCATTTTTTATTGCATGGGGTGATTCTGATTTAGATTTTTAAATATGAAGATAGACAAAGCAAGCTCCTCTTCTTAAAATAAAAAGTTAAGAAAGATGTCATTTGTTGAAGAAAACTAAAGTGTGAGACACTTGAGACATTCTAGTATGTTAAAATGATTCTGACTTTCTTTAGTTCCAAGTAGAGGAACAACTCAAAAAATCATTTGTTTAACATGCATTTATTGAACAGCTACTGTCTTCCACCCATAGTCTATGATCTTGGTGACTTAGCATAACTCTTGGCAGAGAATAAAATATGATACTTTTTAATATTTTATAGACTGCCAGATGTGTCCATCTACATTGTTTCATTTGGTTAGTGCAACATTTCTCTGCATTAAGTGGGCTAGAGATTAAGCCTCAAAGGGGAAAAGTGATGTGTTCAAAGTCACACAGCTAGTAAATCACAGAGTGGGAAAAGTGAACCCACACAGCTTAACTTCAAGCCCAAGTTTCTCTCAATATCTTCATGCTGCTAGAGTAACTCTCAAAGGAAAATCTTTTATTTATAAGTGCCTCTCATGGCCTGAGTGGCAACAGGTTCTTGGAAGGAGTTGTGTAGCCAGTTGCCTTTTCTCTCTCTTTTAAAAAGAATATTGAAAATCATTAGTTTTATTAGTTTCATTCATTTCTGAGGCCCCTAATTTTCAGGTACATTCTGTTGTATTTTCAAGCAAGTCAAACTTTCATGCACATTTTTGGTGAAAAACATCAATCCCGGCCTGTTTACCCTGTGCAGCTGTGCTCCTGTGATTTTTTGCCAGGACACTGGAAGATTTTTTTCTCCTACTCTCAGGTTGCTTAAAAACAAATGTTTTCTTCAGAACATCAGCTTTGTAGTCTAAACAGTTTTCTCTTTGAATTTGGTGCTGTGTCATTGTTTCTGCAGCTGACGTTTTCTGTTCTTTTCACCAATAACTTTCCAAGACTCTGGAATGCTGAAACAGGAGACACATTTTGCTGGTACAATAACAGATATACAATCTAGAAAGGGATATTGAAATGGTAGAGAGATAATTCTGTTCACACAGACCACCCTAGTCAAAGTCACTGACACAGATTGTTAGGGAGACATAGACATGGGTGGGCAATTTCTTAAGACTTGTCAGCTACACATCAGAGGTGTTGGAAACATCACCTGTACAGCATGAAAGGAACAGATTTCTAGTGAAATTGTTTAAGAGTGGCAGTTTCCGCTTCTGTAGTCATGAATGGGAATTGCACACCCAACAAAGTCTGGGATTTTGTACTGTAACCTATTAAAACAACCTATTGCAACCTGTTTAAAACCTAGAGGAGTTTTAAAGCATAAGATGTCTTTCTATTCATCGAATATTTTTTTAATGTCAGCCAGTTGGGCCCTGATGGCTCAGCCTGTAATCCCAGCACTTTGGGAGGCCAAGGTGAGTGGATTGCCTGAGCCCACAGGTTCTAGACCAGCCTGGGAAACTTGGCGAGATCTCTTCTCTATAATAAATAAAAAATTAGCCGGGTGTGGTAGCACGTGCCCGTAGTTCAGGCTACTTGGAAGGCTGAGACAGAAGGATCGCTGGAGCCCAGCAGGCTGATGCTGGGGTGGCTGTATGCATGCCACTGCACTCCAGCCTGGGTGACAGAGTGAGACTCTAACTCAAAAAAAAAAAAAAAAAAAAAAAAAAAGTCAGCCAAAAGGATTGCCTTTTAATAAATAAAATGAGTTTCACACGATCTTTAGGTGAGGTTAAAAAAATCAAATAGACCCATTTCCAATATCTCCTAACAGAAGAGCATCTTGAAAGATGTTGCCACACAGGATCCTTCATGACATAATTTGTGAATTCATGAATAATAAAAAATTAAGTGTATCAGTGTGGATATTTGACTTTTTCTTCACCATAAAAAACCACTGTAATCGGTATTTGCACAGATATTTATCTAAAACTATGATCTAGGATAGCACAGATAAATAAATTCTCCCAGATTGGTTTAAACAGAAACGTTGCCCTTATTTCTGGGACCTGTGTTCTGATAGGGATATATGGGTCTGTAACCGAGAAAGGCATTGCTGCAGTGGTATGGTTGTGCATCTAAATTTTGTCTGGGTTTTCTTGTTTAAGAGGAAAAATGCTTAAGGATAGCCTATTTTAAAGACAAAAGATGAGAAGACCAGACTAAAACCATGTGGGTTAATAGTGGATAAGAAAGAGTATATAGACAAATTTTTTTCTGATATATTATTCAAGAAGTTAGTATTTTACACTGTGTATCTTAAAAAAAAAAAAAAGAGAATGCCCATGGTTCAAGAAAGCTATGCCACTACATTATTACATTATTGACTTTGGCAGGGAGAATGTTCTAAAAACCTTTCTAATTCTTCTCCCTCCTAAACTAACCCTATCATAATAAAGATCTGTTTCTTCGCATCCCTCCCAGCTCACCTCTACACTCTTCCAAGTGAACTTCACAAAAGGCAAAATGCTATATCCAAGTAGCCAAGATTGGCTTCATTTTGGGGCACTGAGTGCTATTTTTATACCAAACCTCTTGGTTCCTTTCTGTGAGATTTGGTGGTCTTCAACCAACTCTGTAATACAACTAGAAACTTCCAGGGCACGTTAGTCAAAACAATTAGTCAGCTGGCTGTGACTAAACAACAGACTTGATAGACTAAACTGAAATTAAGACTGCCCTCGGAGATAAGCTGCATCTGTTGTATGATTATGGTTCCAAATCACTGAAGCCAGGAAAAAAATTCAGTCTCTCAGAATTCATCCTTTCCCACAATTGCAGGAAGAGTTGTAAAAGGAGTGAGAGTCAGGAGACAATTTTAGTTTCAATTTAGCCAACAAATCTAGCATAGAAAGCAATCACTTTATTTAATCTAGTAGTAGAGGTATGATTTTTTTCATCTACCAGCAAAATTGTGCGCGGGGTGGTGATTGCGTATTAGGTCATGTGGAACGTTTTCTTAGTGCCTAAAATTGTATAAGCTTTGCAATTCTATAAGTTTTCACTTGTAACTACTCCAGTATATTTGTGAAATATATTTTATGAAAGTCAAAATTATTTCTATTGGTCATTATATGATATATAGTGTGAGCCTACCTGTGTGTGAGTCTGTGGGAAGACTGCCAATGTGAACACAGTGCTATGAGCGAGGCCACTTTCTTGTGAAAATACATAAAACCAGGCAATCTAAGAGTAGAAATAAGTGTAGCTGAAGCTTCCTTTCAGTGTAAAATTTAGGTATAGTTGAAACATGTTTTCATCCCAGTGGAATACCAATTATTTCATCCACTAGAATGTGTTTATTGCAAAAGAGAAAAAAATCATACACACACGTATGTATGTGGCATGGTGGAGTGGGGGTACTCAGTTAAATTACTGAGGTTATTTCATTTCAAATAAACTTAAGATTCTGATTCTTTTGTACTGGGAGTTGCCTCTTCTCTCTTTCTTTTTGGGAAGAAGGCATACAGACGGCTATGTCTCAGACAGTACCAATTCAGGAAGGATTTTTTTTCCCCTCTGTTAATCTTACATGACAAGAGCCTGTGCCCTCTCAGATAACTCTTTGGGAAGTGGAAGGGACTGCTTCCAAGACCTTTGAAGCTGTTATGCAAATAGTGCATTCATAATCCTACTGGCCGGAATTCTTATCTTATCACTTGAATGAGTCTCTTAGGAAAGTCCTGTTGGGGAGGGACCCGTGCCCCCATTCCTTCACAAGGAAGTCAGCAGAGTCCGCAGCCAGAGAGGTTCTGGCTGGCCCCTCTCCAGTCTGCTCTGGCTTTCATCAAGGAAATTGCTGGTAGATATGGCCTCTTCAGTCCACAGACGTGCAGCCACCCACTTTGCATGAATCGGTTGGGCTTGGGTTAAGATAATTCCTTTGCCATCATGACCCCAGTCTATGAATCAGTTACTTGAGGGACATTACATAGACATTGGATCGTGTGTCCTGTGAATACGTGCTTGGGAGAAGTGTGAATGATGTTCGTGAGTTTAACACACTCCTGCCCCTCTTTCCCCAGACACTGAGACGTGTGACTACGGCTGGCACAAGTTCCAAGGGCAGTGTTACAAATACTTTGCCCATCGGCGCACATGGGACGCAGCTGAGCGGGAGTGCCGGCTGCAGGGCGCACACCTCACCAGCATCCTGTCTCACGAGGAGCAGATGTTTGTGAACCGTACGTAACATGGGCTCTGAAATTTCACTCATTCACATCCCTGTCTTGGTTTTGTTGAACCCAAGTGAAAGAAAGTAGCTTTTCCCATTGTGATTCAACTTATTCAGTCCCTCACCCGTGAACTACTTAAAGTCATCTCACCTGTATATGTTCCACCTTGGGAAACATGCAACTATGACATAGAAACATTGGTGAGCCCGGCTGCAATAACAGGTGAAAACAGCAAGCTGTTGTTAAGTCATAAGAAACTGCTGGTCGGGTGTGGTGGGCTTACGCCTATAATCCCAGCACTTTGGAAGCCTGAGGCAGGAGGATCAGTTGAGTCCAGGAGTTTTTAAGATGATCCTACGCAACATAGCAAGACCTCATCTCTATTTAAAAAAAAAATTAGCTGGGTGTGGCGATGTGTGCCTGTAGTCCCACTTACTTGGGAGGCTGAGGAGAAAGGATCGCCTGTGTCCAGAAGATCGAGACTGTGGTGAGCTATGATCATGCCACGGCACTCCAGTCTAGGTGACAGAGTGAGACCCGAACTCAGAAAAAAAAAGGAAAGAAATTGCTATTTGATCCCTTTTTGATTTATAAAAACAGCCATTTCTTATGGTTCAATATAATTCTTACCATGATTGCCCTCATGGTCTCTCTCTCTTGAATGTTAGCATGTCTTGTTTTAAGTTAAAGAGAAAATTGCTTTCCGTTACTTTTATTCTGCTAATTAAAATTGAATTGTTAATAGCATCCTAATCTTATCCTCTGGGTATATTGATTTTTGTTCAAATTTTTAAGTATTTTAGACCACAGAAAGTGAGCTGTATATTAACATGAATAGGTGACTTAATAGTAGAGCTGCTTGATAACTCCTTAAACTACAGTGAAAGGGAAGGCAGCTGGCTTTCATTTAGCAATCTATAGACATGTGCCTCTCATGAGGCATTGTTTGATGTTCTATTAAATATGTCCTCCTGATCTTCTGAAGTTTGACTGTTAATTTCTAATCTAGGTAGAGATTCATTTAACTTTATTGCATGATATCCTGGCCAATGACCCATCTCATGGTAAAAGTCATTATTCTTGAGGATAGTTTTACAGAACTGTCTGGTCTAGGTGGTTACTGTTGAAAATGTTTTGAGGAGAAACATGTGGCTTTCCAAATAAGGGTAGCAGGGATAAGATCTAGCACATTTTATTGGGTCACTGAATTTTTGCCAATGGAGTCACTTAACAAAGAAGTAAATGGAAAATTTCTATCATGAGTAAGGATGGAAAGAAATTAATTATAGTAAACTGCTTGGGAAATTATTGTATATGTCTGATATTTTAATGTTTCACAGTGTTTGCACATTAGCTTTTTAGTTTAAAGCACATTAGGCAGAAGAACAAGAGCTAAAAGAGGAGAGATTTTTATGAGTAGCTAAATAAAAATCTAGCCAGAAAAGAGGATGTATAATTGTATTAGTCTGTTTTGCACTGCTATCAAGGAATACCTGAGACTTGGTAATTAACACAACAAAGAAGTTTATTTGGCTCACAGCTCTGCAGACTGTACAGGAAGTGTTGTGCTGGCATGTGCTTCTTGTGAGGCCTCAGGAAGCTACAATCCTGGCTGAAGGGGAGCTAGCGTGTCACATGGCGAGTGGAGAAGCAGGAAAGGGAGGAGGTGCCAGGCTCTTCCAAACAACCAGCTTTCACGTGAAGTTATTGCCACAGGATGGCATCAAGACACCCATGAGAGATCTGTCCCCACAACCCAAACCTCCCACTAGGCCCTCTCCAACAATAGGATCGACATTTCAGCATGAGATTTGGAAGGAACAAACATCTAGACTTTATCAATGATTCACTCTGAAAATAATTTTCTTGGGTATATTTGCATCTATATACTGAAAAAGTAGTAAAAGTATCTGTGTTGTTTCCCATCCCCTAGGTGTGGGCCACGACTATCAGTGGATAGGTCTCAACGACAAGATGTTTGAGCATGATTTCCGCTGGACAGATGGTAGCACGCTGGTAAGATGCAGTGAAATGATGTCAGTCCTGGGAACTTGGTCCTGTGCGCTGACTGCACTTTATGGAGGGAGCATGCATGACACTGGAGACACATTGAGTGGCCTGCTCAGGGTCGCTCCATGAAACTGGAAAGGGTTAGAAAAGCTCTCCGAGCCAACTGATCCAACATTGAGCTCTCGCCAATAGCTGCAGCCCTCTTAAGGGAGTGTGGCCAGGCTCGGAGGCACAGCCTATAATCCCAGCATTTAGGGAGGCCAAGGCGAGTGGATTGCCTGAGCCCGGGGGTTTGAGACCACCCCGGGCAACTTGGCGAGACCTCTTCTCTACAATAAATCAAAAATTAGCCAAGTGTGGTAACACATGCCTGTAGTTCCACCTACTTGGAAAGCTGAGGCAGAAGGATCGCCGGAGCTCAGCAGGTTGATGCTGGGGTAGCCATGAGCATGCCACTGTACTTTAGCCTGGGTGCCGAAGTGAGATTCCAACTCAAAAAAAAAAGGGGGGGGGAGTGTGCTGGATTTCCATCAAACCAGAAAAGCAAATTGTTAGTAAAATTACCTTGGGTCTGACTTTTGGATGGTTATCTTTGCTTTTTATAGCTTTGCAGCAAAAAGAAAAAATAACAAATGTAAGAGAAAAGACCTTTAAAAAATACCTTTCCTTTTTACATAATTGCACTAGAAATCTACTATAAGGCATAACTCATTTTTAGCCAATCAAAAAGACTCTTTTTAAAACATTTTTCTCCTGTAATTTTTTTTTTTTTAATTTAGGGTCTCACTCTGTCACCCAGGCTGCATGCTGGGTCACCCATGTGCATGATCACAGCTCACTTCAGCCTTCACCTCATGAGTTCAGGCAATCCTCCCACAAGTAGCTGGGACTACAGGTATGCACACTGTGCCCGGCTAATTTTTAATTCTTTTTTGTAGAGATGAAGTCTCACTATGTTGCCAAGGCCAGTCTTGAACTCCTGAACTCAAGCAGTGCTCCCACCTGGGCCTCCTAAAGTGCTAGGATTATAGGCGTGAATCATTGCATCTACCTTTTTTATCTTAAAGAGGATTTTTTATTTTGGATCCTGTGGGTCTCGGCTGACTAATTCTATATTTCATTTTTTTTCTACTTTTTTTTTTTTTTGAGTTGGAGTCTCACTCTGTTGCCCAGGCTGGAGTGCTGTGGTACACTCCCAGCCACTTCAGCCTCGACCTGCTAGGCTCAGGTGATCCTTCTGCCTCAGCCTTCCAAGTAGCTGGAACTACAGGCATGCGCCACCAAGCCTGGCTAATTTTCTGATTTATTGTAGCAGTGAGGTCTCACAAAGTTGCCCGGGCTGGTCTCGAACCCATGGGCTTAATGAGTCTGGCAAAATATAAGATTTATTCCAGAATAGATGTCAAAGTCATCTCTGCTTTTGGAAATTTCATTCTGTTCAGGGAAGTGTGTCTGTGAACCTGCAACTCAGATCATCTGTGTCAAGCACTTGTATATGCTTCTTCCCTACAATAACTTTTCAGAGAGGCATTAGGTTTCTCTTCACCTGTTTTACAGGTAAAGAAAAGGAAGGTCAGTTAAATTGAACTATTTTCCCAGAGTCACAAAACAGTTAAAGCCAGTATTTGAACTCAGGTTTGTCTTCAAAGCTATAGTTCCATCACGGCTGGTACCTCTTTGACTTTAAAAAGAGTGTTCCTTTTTATACTTTTACTTTGAACAGTCCAAAATAAAGCCTGGCTTGCTCTCTTTCTGTCATCACTTTCTATGTTTGTTTATTTTTTATTGACTTTTATTTATTTTTGTAGAGATATGATCTAGCCATGTGGTCCAGGATGTCTTGAAAGTTCTTTATGTTTAATCAGTGCTGTTTGTCATTTGAGTTCATAAATAGGTTCTTCAGCAAGATGCAGGAAAAACTCTGGAAAATAGGTTGTCTTTAAAATATGTTCCCAGTAGGATATAGGACCCACAACCTCAGAATCAAGCTCATTTTCTTCTGAGTATCCCAGTTGGATGTATTTCTGCAATTGCTGCTGTGTGGCTTTTCATTTTCTGTACCTAAAGGGGCATAATATTGTTCAGTTTGATTAATAGTGGTTGGTATGGCATGGATTCTTGCTCATTAACTTCAGTTGACGATGGACAATTTTGCTCCTGTTAATTTAATTTCTAAGCAAACATACGATTAAAAGGGTTTTTTCTATATATTACAGATGAACTGTTTTTATAATTTTTTACGTATGTTTTATAGTGTAGGCATTTAATGAGTTTCCCCCTGTTAAATGCACACTTCATTCTTGTGGAATAAATTAGGTTTCTAGGATACCCTCTAAAGTCTACTTCCCACAAATGCCCCTTATTTCTAGCAAAGTGAAAAGCACAGGTCTTTGTGAGCTCCCATCACGTATACAGAAACAAGACTCCCCAGGACACAGGTGGCCAATTCTGGTTAGTACTCACTGGTGCCTTGAAGATCAGGGCCATGACTTACCTCCAAGTGTACCTGTTGGCTAGCTTCCAGTATGTTCCAGCCTGAGCCTAGAATAGCTACATTTGACCAGGTGGAATATATGACAAATCTGTTTTTGCTGCACACTGACCTGTGTGAGCCAAGTCCCAGTCTGTTTCCAATCTGTCATCAGATACATAGAATTGATGTACATATTTTTATTCTTAGCATGTATTTGTGTTTCTAGACATTTATTCTTGTCTCACTTCTTCAAAAAATGCTTCTTTCTCCTTTTTTAAATGTTTCATGGTGTGTAGGATAAAGTCTTGCCCTTATCCCTGTGAACTAGTTAAGAGACTTAATATTGACTTACACAGGTAGCTAAGTGGAGTCTGTGAACTATCTTAGGGGATTTATCTTCGCTGCCAGGTACCACACAGGTGAGCTGGCTTGATCAAATGCCATTATTTCTCTATGCCACAGCTAAGCAACTCAACTATTTAAAAAAAATCATGTCCGTTAATTTTTAATGTAGGCACACAAATACTGTGGGAAAAAAATAGCTTAATTACCACTTCAATAATCTGGAATGGTACGGCACTTGGTAAATTAGTGAGCACTGCACTTTGTCGAAAGATAAATATTGATCTTCCTCTGAAATTTCCAGAAGAAGGTAACATAACTGAATAGATAACTGTACAACATAAACCAGAACCTTCCTCTTAATCAAACTATATTTTTCTTGAAACTTTAAGATTGTGGAGAGCATGCGGAGGGCCTCCATTTGGAGAAAGCGGCAAATGAAACATGTCAACAGGAAAAGTTTATCAAAGAAATAACACAAGTAAATTCAGGAAAAAACATGAACAGGCCCTTGGTCTCTTCTTAATTTGCTCTTTGTGTAAAATAAGAGTGTGCTAAGGAGTGTCCCTTGACTTTGAACATTTTGGAACAGAGCAGACCATCTGCCCGCAGCCTGGTTCCCTCCCCTCTGACTGATCTCTGGCCACCTTCTGGCCTTTGGACTCACCCTTTCCTCTGTCCCTTTCCTCTCTGAACCAGCCTAGGTGTCCTTTAAATGTGTCTGTGGTTCTGTCTACAGTCACCATCCCTTAACGGGTTCCATATGTGCTCAGGCCTTTGAATCAAAGAGTTCCTCTTTGTTTCGCTGTTTACTCCAAGGTTTTTGCTTTTGAAAATACCCATAATAGTAAAGTCTTGATGGGCAGAACAGTGTCTGCTTATACTTGGAAATGGTGTTAACTTGACTGTGTGCAGTTTTAAAGACTTTGTTTATATTTTAGACTGATTTCTCTCCTTCCCCCTACCCTCCCTCCCCCTGTTTTTGTTTGAAAGATTTATTAGAGCTTATTCGTCTTGGGAGGTAGAGCAGTATTAAAACAAAAAGAACCTTTGATATTTACCTTAAACTATCTTTTGATATTTAGTCTTACAATTCAGTAAAAACAGACAAGTTTATTTTAGGTCCCAATTTAAAGGATTTATTTTATTGAAATAAACTTTGCCTCAATAAACTTGCAGTATATCATATTTAATGCGATTATGATACATAGACTAATTCAGTGTATATGCTTATATTAAACTAATAACATTGTTTGACCATGTTATCTTCATCACCCTGGTTCTTTAGATCTGGCTGATTCATTCCACATTATTGGCCTCAACAATAGGATGTTGATGTCATTGATAATATGCTAAATTCTTTGTTTCTGTTATATTTAACAAATCCTTTTTTGTTATTTATTTGGGGTGTTTGCCCAATATATTTCACAAAAGTGAACTCATGAATAGGATTGGGTCTAGCTTTCCCTTTGTGACTTTATTTATTTTTTTCTTTTTTTCTAAAAAAAATTTTATTATAAAGACGTGGGGGTACAATTCAGGGTTAGGTATATAAACATTGATCATGCAGGTACCCTTGTTGATGAGGTATGCCCCTTCCTCCCCTAGCAGTTTCCCTCAGCTACCAATCCCCCCACCCCCAACAGTTTCCCACTACTGCCAATCACTTTCTTATAGAGTTATAATTGTCCAAGGTCCATCTATGAGTGAGAACATATGGAACTCTAATGTGGTACATATACACAATGGAATATTATCCAGACATAAAGAAGGACAAATATATGGACTTTGCAGCAACTTGGATGGATTTGGAGTCGTTCATACTCAGTGATTTATCACAGAAACAAAGAAAAGAATTCCCTTTGTGACTTTCATTATCTTCTCTGAACATGTTTGGGCTTTTGTCTCTTGGCTTCTCCTGACCAGTCATTCTTTAACTTGACTATTGTTCCCTAACTGCAAAGCTTGCCCAAGGCTCCATTAGAAACCTTGACAGATGACTTCAATAATGAATTGCTTCCCTTGTCACTCAAGTGAGGTCTTCAAAGACACAAAGTTAAACCACCCAAGTTAAATACATACTAAAGCTGGCCAACTTAAACAAACATTTCTTATCTAGCTTATATGCAATTAGTTGACTTTTAAGTTCTCTCTTTGACCAGTTGTGAAATGAATGACTAGTAGAAGTGTT